TCTCGAAGTGCCAGAGCGTAATGGCATACTTCTTGCTTGAAATCCTGAAATGAGCAGCAGAACAAACAAAAAGAGTTAATCGGCGGCGTGGCAAAGGTGGAGGATGATGTCACCACAGAAAGTGATTAAGGCTAAAGCCATTCGATAGATGACTCGAGCATTTTTAGATTTCAGACTGAAGAAAATAAAATTAAGAGGCTGGATTTCCTTTGTTTTCTGTCTTCATGAGCCTAACTGCCTTCAAAACTTATTAAGCATCAACCTTCTGAAGAACCTTGAAATTAAATAATGTAAAATTAATATCAGCTTTGTTTGTGGGATTCCTAACAACGCTTCATTTAGTTCGGTCAACAAATACATAGTAGGTATATAAACTCAGATTAATTCGGGAAAGTCAGGGGATCGAAGTTTGCCCTGTTTGCCTTAACAGTACCATCCAGTCCACTTGCATAACTTCAAAACTAGTCGCATGCTGTCACACATTTTATAAAGATGGCTATTTTCGAACCATTTTGACTGCAAAGGTATAGTGGCTCTGCATGAACCGAATACTATGGAAGTGTAACTTCTCAAATGAAATTAAGTATGATCAATGTAATCAATTTATAGTGGGACCACTTCAGTCCACTGCTAGACCAGTAAGACATTTTCTAAAGAAACGCATTGAAGGTAGCATTAAGGAATTTAGTAAGTGTGCTCTGTTGACATAAGCTACACTTTCTCGGACCACACCCGGAATGAGTGACAACTTTTCTCTATGCGACGCGCAGTTCCAAACATAAGAACAGGTAAAGCAAGCATAACTAGTTAAAAAAATTGCTTAACAAGCAAAAGTGAGCCGAGAAAATAGGGAGCTTTAGAATAACGGGCGCTATTTTATCTCGCGTTACGGACGGCAAAAGCGTTTCTCTGCCGGGGACCCAAAACGCAAGCAACTCACACTTAAAGCGCCACCAAGATGTTACGATAGCTTTTATTTTGAAGTTAGAATGTTATATCTTTAAAATTAAACAAGCTTATCGTCTGGAATAACATTTTTATAGTTGTTTTATACTCAATGCCGCATGTTTCTGTCACTGTCAAACTGCTCTGTTGTACTTCCGAGGCCACGACGATCCACAACCCCGGCATGTTTACATTTCTGCCGCGATCGCAAGTACACGCGCTTTGATAGCTTTGAGCTCTGAATCTAACGGTATGTGACATTTTCTGTACGCTATGACTATACCAACCGCGGTCGCCAAGTGCGACTCACGCAGTCCCAGGCGGGCGGCGGGCGTCGAAGACGCGATCAACGGAATGTCGTGGGCGCCGCCATTTTCGGTATCCGCGCTATTTCCAAGAAATAACGGGCCCCAAAGCCCAAGCCCCAGTGCTCGTTTTGGGTCTACGCATTCGCACTCGCGACGACGTTATTTATTCGAGGTTGCGGACGTCGTTCTGAAACTCCCTAATGTTCAAACTTCCACGCGTCTACAATGCAAACAAAGACCAAAAGCATGCTTACCAAGTGTGTTGAGGTGCTCGCTAGACTGTCGCGTCGTGTGTCTTCCAAGCTCTTCTTGACCATAATCAACATAAGAGGAGACTTCACAGATAGGTAAACTTGAATAAATGAGCACATTTCTATGTCTAAAAGCATTTTCGTCCCCTGACAGAAACACACCCGACGCACGACAAGACAATGTCGGGGATGGATGGATGGATGTTAATGGCTATTCCCTTTGTAACGGGCGGTAGCTTGCGCCACCTAGCCTAAGTCTAAAAAGACAAAAACGTGATTCCTCCCGCCCTTTTAAGACCAATTTTTCTCCCCCTAACTATCACCAGGCAGTGTGGGATATCACCAGGATGACCTTCGGGGGATCGGGCAAAAAAACTAAAAAACATCACTTCCCTGCCTCTTCCCCCCGGCGAGGGAGTCGCCAATTTTCCTCTGGTCAAACCTTTTCGGCGTTACCCCAGCACCGGACCCACTGGGAGACAGGGTTGAGACTTTGGGCCGGAGCCACGCGGGAGGGAGTCCCAATTTTCCTCTGTCCCGCCTGTTCCCAGCTGTGCTAGTTAGTTGTCCATCATTTAATTTTCCCTAGATAATTTCCACCAATCTTCTAATCGTCTCTTTGTCACTGTAATCTTTTTTTCTACCATCCCTCCATCGTCGCCAGTGAAACCCAGGGCCCCGGCCAAGTCCGTTACCCCTTCAGGGAGGGCAGGACGAAGCCTTGTGCACTTCAAAACCAAGTGCTCCAGTGTCTCGCTATCATTATGGCAGGCGGCACATAATGTGTCGGTCTCCTGAAATTTAGCCCTATACGTCCTCGTCCTCAAAACTCAAAACACAAAAAAAAGTGTGGTGTCGCTAGCGATGGGGTGCTGTAACTAGTACGAGCTCGATAGGAATAGATAACTGGGCAAGTTGGTGAGAATTCATGTTGAGAGACAGCTCGACCGGGACGAGGACAAAAAGACGAAGAGAACACAGGACAGGCGCTGTCCTGTGTTCTCTTCGTCTTTTTGTCCCTGTCCCAGCCGTGCTGTTTTTCAACAATATGAGCTCCTTACAAAATCGAAACCGAAATTGGCCGAATCGCGATGGAGGGTGCCATAAAAATGTCTTTACAAACTTAGGAATAAAAGAGGGTGAATACAACTATTGTTATAAGCACATGAAATAAATGTGTAAATCATGACTAGTACCGACTTGCCATTTGTTTTGGGTGAAATGGAGTAGGAAGTAGATTTCTTTGTTTCAACCCATCAAGATATTTTCTTTATTTTTCGTGGAGATTACTTTTATTTACACTTTCCTTACAGTATTTTATTAGTAAATTATTTTGTTGCACCAGGGTCCCAAGTTCTATTTAGAATATTGCCCTAAAATTTATTCAGAAAAGCAAGCATTTCATTGTGTTATTTTCCTCTAAAATGTGCATGACTGTGTGTTTTCAAGCTACAAAACTATATGAATTTTTATAACCCATTGATTTACAATGATGGTGTGTTATGTAACCTGGGCTTAAACCATTTTTGCCATTCGAAAATATTGAGGAAAAAAAAGCGTAACATTGTCGCATAATTAACTTGACTGATGTAGTTTTATGCATACTGTTCTAAAGTGGACACATTTTTTGCATTTGGAATAGATATTTGCATCACACAGCCCAGGTTACATAGTCCATAACTAGTCCATAACACATGCATCAAATGGGCTGGTGTATTTCTGACACGGACTATTCTGACAGACATATGTCTAATTTATTCCTATTGCTCAAATATAGACATGCACAATTGGTACATTCCTATCGAATGATTTGAGGTTTCCACTAGTCAAGGAAGCATTCCTGTTTGGCGAACAAAACTTTTGGTTTAACTGATGAAGATTCCTAACCGTCCGATAAAGTCCTTATGGGACCAGTCTAAGTTTCTATGGGACCAATAGGAATGCCTATTGGACTGATCGAAATTTCTATAGGCCCAATAGGCATTCCTATGGGACCGGTACACACTCCTATGGGACCGGTACACACTCCTATGGGACCGGTACACACTCTTATGGGACCGATACACACTCCTATGGGATTGATACACACTCCTATGGGACCGATACACACTCCTATGGGACCAATACACACTCTTATGGGACCAATAAAACTTCCTATGGGACCGATACGCACTCCTATGGGACCGATACACATTTCCTATGGGACCGATACAGATTTTTATGGGACCGATACAGATTTCTGTGGGACCAATAGAAATTCCTATCGGACCGATAGAAATCTCTATTGGTCCGATACAAATCTCTATCGGAATTTTTGCTAGGGATGCATACCTATTTCTAGCATTCGCAATTTTGTTTTCTCTGTTCAATAAACAGAAATTATGATCCATGGTCCCTATCGGGGTATGTCGAATTAAGCCCAGGGCTTCTCGAACAGCGTGATCAGTTTTGTTGTGTATATGAGCATGAATCAAGTTGGGGTTGTCGATCAAACTACCTGCAGGATGCGAGCAGCGAGGACTGCATGTCCCCCAGCGCGTGTCTCCAGCCGAGGAACGCAACCATGGTCAGTCATACCTATTTCTAGCATTCGCAATTTTGTTTTCTCGGTTCAATAAACAGAAATTATGATCCATGGTCCCTATCGGGTTGTGTCGAATTGAGCCCAGAGCTTCTCGAACAGCGTGATCAGTTTTGTTGTGTATATGAGCATGAATCAAGTTGGGGTTGTCGATCAAACTACCTGCAGGATGCGAGCAGCGAGGACTGCATGTCCCACAGCACGTGTCTCCAGCCGAGGAACGCAACCATGGTCAGTCATACCTATTTCTAGCATCCGCAATTTTGTTTTCTCGGTTCAATAAACAGAAATTATGATCCATGGTCCCTATCGGGTTGTGTCGAATTAAGCCCAGGGCTTCTCGAACAGCGTGATCAGTTTTGTTGTGTATATGAGCATGAATCAAGTTGGGGTTGTCGATCAAACTACCTGCAGGATGCGAGCAGCGAGGCCTGCATGTCCCACAGCACGTGTCTCCAGCCGAGGAACGCAACCATGGTCAGTCATACCTATTTCTAGCATTCGCAATTTTGTTTTCTCGGTTCAATAAACAGAAATTATGATCCATGGTCCCTATCGGGTTGTGTCGAATTAAGCCCAGGGCTTCTCGAACAGCGTGATCAGTTTTGTTGTGTATATGAGCATGAATCAAGTTGGGGTTGTCGATCAAACTACCTGCAGGATGCGAGCAGCGAGGACTGCATGTCCCACAGCACGTGTCTCCAGCCGAGGAACGCAACCATGGTCAGTCATACCTATTTCTAGCATTCGCAATTTTGTTTTCTCGGTTCAATAAACAGAAATTATGATCCATGGTCCCTATCGGGTTGTGTCGAATTGAGCCCAGAGCTTCTCGAACAGCGTGATCAGTTTTGTTGTGTATATGAGCATGAATCAAGTTGGGGTTGTCGATCAAACTACCTGCAGGATGCGAGCAGCGAGGACTGCATGTCCCACAGCACGTGTCTCCAGCCGAGGAACGCAACCATGGTCAGTCATACCTATTTCTAGCATCCGCAATTTTGTTTTCTCGGTTCAATAAACAGAAATTATGATCCATGGTCCCTATCGGGTTGTGTCGAATTAAGCCCAGGGCTTCTCGAACAGCGTGATCAGTTTTGTTGTGTATATGAGCATGAATCAAGTTGGGGTTGTCGATCAAACTACCTGCAGGATGCGAGCAGCGAGGCCTGCATGTCCCGCAGCACGTGTCTCCAGCCGAGGAACGCAACCATGGTCAGTCATACCTATTTCTAGCATTCGCAATTTTGTTTTCTCGGTTCAATAAACAGAAATTATGATCCATGGTCCCTATCGGGTTGTGTCGAATTAAGCCCAGGGCTTCTCGAACAGCGTGATCAGTTTTGTTGTGTATATGAGCATGAATCAAGTTGGGGTTGTCGATCAAACTACCTGCAGGATGCGAGCAGCGAGGACTGCATGTCCCACAGCACGTGTCTCCAGCCGAGGAACGCAACCATGGTCAGTCATACCTATTTCTAGCATTCGCAATTTTGTTTTCTCGGTTCAATAAACAGAAATTAGATCCATGATCCCTATCGGGTTGTGTCGAATTGAGCCCAGGGCTTCTCGAACAGCGTGATCAGTTTTGTTGTGCATATAAGCATGAATCAAGTTGGGGTTGTCGATCAAACTACCTGCAGGATGCGAGCAGCGAGGACTGCATGTCAAACAGCACGTGTCTCCAGCCGAGGAACGCAACCATGGTCAGTCATACCTATTTCTAGCATCCGCAATTTTGTTTTCTCGGTTCAATAAACAGAAATTATGATCCATGGTCCCTATCGGGTTGTGTCGAATTAAGCCCAGGGCTTCTCGAACAGCGTGATCAGTTTTGTTGTGTATATGAGCATGAATCAAGTTGGGGTTGTCGATCAAACTACCTGCAGGATGCGAGCAGCGAGGACTGCATGTCCCGCAGCGCGTGTCTCCAGCCGAGGAACGCAACCATGGTCAGTCATACCTATTTCTAGCATTCGCAATTTTGTTTTCTCGGTTCAATAAACAGAAATTATGATCCATGATCCCTATCGGGTTCCGTCGAATTGAGCCCAGAGCTTCTCGAACAGCGTGATCAGTTTTGTTGTGTATATGAGCATGAATTAAGTTGGGGTTGTCGATCAAACTACCTGCAGGATGCAAGCAGCGAGGACTGCATGTCCCACAGCACGTGTCTCCAGCCGAGGAACGCAACCATGGTCAGTCATACCTATTTCTAGCATTCACAATTTTGTTTTCTCGGTTCAATAAACAGAAATTATGATCCATGATCCCTATCGGGTTCCGTCGAATTGAGCCCAGAGCTTCTCGAACAGCGTGATCAGTTTTGTTGTGTATATGAGCATGAATCAAGTTGGGGTTGTCGATCAAACTACCTGCAGGATGCGAGCAGCGAGGACTGCATGTCCCACAGCACGTGCCTCCAGCCGAGGAACGCAACCATGGTCAGTCATACCTATTTCTAGCATTCGCAATTTTGTTTTCTCGGTTCAATAAACAGAAATTATGATCCATGGTCCCTATCGGGTTGTGTCGAATTAAGCCCAGGGCTTCTCGAACAGCGTGATCAGTTTTGTTGTGTATATGAGCATGAATCAAGTTGGGGTTGTCGATCAAACTACCTGCAGGATGCGAGCAGCGAGGACTGCATGTCCCACAGCACGTGTCTCCAGCCGAGGAACGCAACCATGGTCAGTCATACCTATTTCTAGCATTCGCAATTTTGTTTTCTCGGTTCAATAAACAGAAATTAGATCCATGATCCCTATCGGGTTGTGTCGAATTGAGCCCAGGGCTTCTCGAACAGCGTGATCAGTTTTGTTGTGCATATAAGCATGAATCAAGTTGGGGTTGTCGATCAAACTACCTGCAGGATGCAAGCAGCGAGGACTGCATGTCCCGCAGCACGTGTCTCCAGCCGAGGAACGCAACCATGGTCAGTCATACCTATTTCTAGCATTCGCAGTTTTGTTTTCTCGGTTCAATAAACAGAAATTATGATCCATGATCTCTATCGGGTTGTGTCGAATTGAGCCCAGGGCTTCTCGAACAGCGTGATCAGTTTTGTTGTGTATATGAGCATGAATCAAGTTGGGGTTGTCGATCAAACTACCTGCAGGATGCAAGCAGCGAGGACTGCATGTCCCACAGCATGTGTCTCCAGCCGAGGAATGCAACCATGGTCAGTCATACCTATTTCTAGCATTCGCAATTTTGTTTTCTCGGTTCAATAAACAGAAATTATGATCCATGATCCCTATCGGGTTGTGTCGAATTGAGCCCAGGGCTTCTCGAACAGCGTGATCAGTTTTGTTGTGTATATGAGCATGAATCAAGTTGGGGTTGTCGATCAAACTACCTGCAGGATGCAAGCAGCGAGGACTGCACGTCCCGCAGCACGTGTCTCCAGCCGAGGAATGCAACCATGGTCAGTCATACCTATTTCTAGCATTCGCAATTTTGTTTTCTCGGTTCAATAAACAGAAATTATGATCCATGATCCCTATTGGGTTGTGTCGAATTGAGCCCAGGGCTTCTCGAACAGCGTGATCAGTTTTGTTGTGTATATGAGCATGAATCAAGTTGGGGTTGTCGATCAAACTACCTGCAGGATGCGAGCAGCGAGGACTGCATGTCCCACAGCACGTGCCTCCAGCCGAGGAACGCAACCATGGTCAGTCATACCTATTTCTAGCATTCGCAATTTTGTTTTCTCGGTTCAATAAACAGAAATTATGATCCATCATCACTCTCTCTTTGTGTCGATGCAGCCACGGCTGACAAAAACTCTAGCAACACAAGTCCAAAGAAAAATTCGCTCGGTGCTCACACAGACACGCCCGCAGACTCGGTCGGAATGTAAGTGTTGAGTTCATTGTGAATAGTTGTAATATATGTGTGGGCCAGCCACAGGGATTACGAATGGCCTGCATCCTTTTCAGATGTTCAAGTGAACACGGTCATAAGAGTGTCACGTGCAGTGCAAACAGATATATCTGCAATGGGCGAAGCCTGCGATCTCCTAGACCGGCTTCATGGCACCTCATCCCCAACTTCCATGCAAGTGCCGCTTCCATCAGAGTTTATTCTCTCGTCTCCACCTCACGAACCATTTGGAAGCCTGAGCCAATTTCCCAGACCAGAGGCTGCGACCATCTCTCCAGAAGATGACTTAACTGGTGAACGCCCAAGTTCACCACCTTCCTTAGAGCCACCGGGCATGTACCACAACGATGATCCTACATATGACCCTGCCTATGAACCATCGTACGACAAGAGTTTTGAAATGTGAGTACAGGGCCTTCAGCAAGTGATAGGTTGTTTAATAGAGTAGCCAAGTGTTCCTAGCCACCAACAGCTGATGAATGACTAGTCAGCTGTTTTGGGTGCCTTGCCTTAGTATGACCATGCGGTCTTCAATAGTGCTTTCACTTCTGTATCATTAGATACAGAAGTGGGCACGGCAGCACCCGAGCGATGCAGCCACGAATGAACCTTTTCGTCTTTCTCGTGCAGGCTCTTGCTTTTCACGCCAGCACCATCCACCGCGATGGAAGAGGGACCATCGAGTGGCCCGTAACGGACTCCTGCTTGGATGCAGAGATGACTCGTCGCGGTCACTACAGCAACGGCGTATCGGGCGACGCGGAAACCACCAACGGGAACAACACTGTGTTTTTTGAACTAAACCCTATGTCACCGACATACGCCGAATGGTCATCGGTATCAGCGAGATTCTGGAACAACGCCCCCCTCGATTTGCGCTTCAGTGGGCACGGCAGCACCCGAGCGATGCAGCCACGAATGAACCTTTTCGTCTTTATCGTGCAGGTACGTAGAAATGTATCATCATTTAAGAGCAATTGTGTGTTTTTGGTGGTGCTGCCTTGCCCGCAGGTGTTGTGTCATTCGGTCGCAGAGTGTTTTGATTCTTTTTGCCTCATGGTGTTGTTGCTGAGTGGAGATGTAGAGTCGAATCCGGGACCAACGGTTTCGGAACAGCTGAGAGAAATCCTAGCTAATCAAGAACAATTGACACGTGATCTCGCATCGATCAAAGAAGCTCTAGGTAGGCACATATCTGATACTGGTAAACGGTTGGTTGCAATTGAAGGAAAAATGGAGGCATTTTCGAAAAGTGCAGAAAAAATTGAAAAATGTACCACTGAAGTTAAGGAGTTGAAACAGCAAATAGGATGGCTGACAGATAAGGTTGACAATTTGGAAAACTGCAGCAGGAGAAACAGTATAATCGTCTACGGTGTACATGAGCGAGAGGGTGAAACTGAGGTATCACTTAAGGGAGGAGGTGGGGAATAAATATGAACTTTCTTATTTCTCGAGATATCTGAACGAAATTTACAGGGTGTATTTATAGCACAGACATAAGAGTAACTGCAAAGTTTCATGGAGCTGTGCATATTATTTCTCAAGTTACAAATATTTATCAAAATTGTCCATATGCATTCTTTATCCCAGGTCTGGAGAAGTTGAAAAAGGTAGTAGCGACGTAAAAGTCGTCATGATGACCCCTGGATAGGTTCCCCAGGGCATAACAGAGCCCTTTTTTTAAATTTCTTTGTTGAAAGACTTTAACGCAACTTTGAATTTTGTGTAATCAATGAAACCCACATTCATCAAATTTAATTTTTTTATTATAAATTTTTAGCATAGTTTTCTAAAAAAAGGGCTCTGTTATGCCCTCACAAAGTTATTAGAGAACAGAATAAAAAAGACAGCACAAAAATCCATTCATCAGTTCCTGAGATATCGCTGGGACGAGCAGCCACGGCAGTGGAAAAATCCATTCTGAGAAAACAGCACTTGAAAGTTGCACACAGATTTTCAGCTTTAGAATGACCCCGCAGAATAGTCAGAAGTGTTCTTGCGCACTTTCTTCTTGTTCCGCCTTTCCAACTTGTCTTGATGTCGTTTGCTGGCCTTGTGCAGACGTAGGGCATCTTTCTCGGCAGCTCGTTGGAGGGCTAGATAGGCCGGCTGAAGTCCCACTGCAACCGATATTTCTGCAGTTGCCTTGTAGCAGCCGGCGTTGAACCTCAACACCGCTTCATGCAGTGCAGTTTCGACAGCGATCAGCGATGCATGCTGTTCCTTAGGCATCAAAGACCACAGGACAGAGTGGAAAGACTCAGATGCATTCTGAGTCTTTGCTCCCAAGCAGCGTTGAAGCAGAGAAACCTGCGACAGGCGTTGGTAGACGGGCAGCATAGCTGCAGCTACGTAGGCTGGGAGTTTGTGCTTGTGCTGGGGCTGTGGCTCACCTTTTGCCTCGGCAACTCTATGACAGCACCACGATTGAGCTCCCTCCGGACAGAGTTCATGGTGAGGCTCCTGGTCAGTCGACGTGACATGATGGTAGGTGGCCATAACAGCACGCTGCATCGCTGCCACGTCCTTGGAGTTGTTTCGGAGGGCCCAGCCATAGTAGTCGGTAAGCTTGTCGATAAGGGCCTTCGTCAACCTGCCCTTGCCGCTCAACGGCTTGTCGCTCTTCTGGACAAGGTTGCGCAGTGCCGTTCCCATTCTCTTCTGAACATGGTTCAAACACTTCCTTCACGATGGGGACTAGCCCGTAGACGTTCTCTTCTGTAAGGGCAGAGAAGGTCCTGCTGTCCCCGTCGGAGACAAGTGCTGTATACCGCAGGTCGTGCTTGGAGACAGAGCGCTTGAAGAGGGTCAGGGCCGCCTCGACCTCCATCCTCCCAGATTTGGCGTCCGTGTTTTTCTGGCAGACATGATGCATGTGCCAGCTGTCGTACCCTTGATCTCCACGCTTGGGTCCTGTTTGGCACCCAAGGCACAGGTTGGATAAAACCACTGCGTCCAAGATGAGGCCTGTGTGGTATTCTATGACTGACCCGACTCCGATGTGAGATGTGTGCCCTCTCTTGTGCCATGTGCCGTCATACACCATGGTGACATCCTTGCAGAACCCCGGGTCCATCTTCTTACAGGCTGTCTTCACCGCGACAGCTGACTCGGCATAAAACTTTTCCACGCACAGGGCCTCTGGCTCTCTGAAGGTCTTCTTCAGGTGCTCTTGGAACGTTTTGTGGTGGAGACTTCTGTGGGAGACGTTCATAGCTGCCCAAAAGTCATTGAGAGCTGTCTGCCCCTTTCCTATCTGCTTGATTGCCATGATGGAGCGGATGTTGACTTCGAAGGCCCTCGAGTCTTGCTGGCGTGGCGAAGTCCAGGAACTTGCAATAATGCCGCAATGGGGGCATACAACCTCGAGTTTTGCTGCCAGTCCGAGTTTGGTGCCTTCTTGGACAGTCAATCCAGTCCCCGAGCAATGCTTGCACACTGTGCAGCGGAGCAGGTTGCTCAAAACGTCGATCTGAACAAGGCAGAACTTCTCACCTCAGGCGTGGCAGAACAAGGCAGAACTTCTCACAAGGCAGGCGTGGGATCGGGCAGCATGGCTTCAAACTTCCTCTGGGTTGCTGGCATAGCTCCAAGTTCGGCTTGAACGGTATCACGATGTCTAGCTTCTGCTTCGATCTCCTCACGTGTCAGGAAATGTGTCCGCAGATGGGTGCTGGAAGACGCGCTCCCACTTGTCGCGGCAGGAGGAAGACGGGCGCTGGGACCCGCGATCTCGGGAGGAACCACAACGGTCGGCATGCTCGGTACTCCAGGCGTGAGCGGGGCGATGCGTTCTTCCTCGACGACAGCCGATGGCACAGAAAATCCATCACTTGAAGTGTTGACGCGATCATCATTGACAGCACGCCGTGCAGAAACTTCCAACTTCGCCATCCGCACTAACTTCATGGACCGCTTCCGCGCGCCAAACGCGCGCACCGTCTTGTACTTCGAACCCCGCATCGTGTGCGACCACGAAACAGACGGGCATGCTACACGAAACTACTCAAAGAAAGTTCGGAAAACGATTGTAAAGATGGCGAAAAACGAAGCGGAGCTTACAAAGCAAGAGCGCGTGTAAGCAGACCACTACCAAAAGCAGACGACGCGAGCGGCAACAGCAGGAGAAACGGAAGTGGAGGAGAGCGCTCCGCGCGCGGAAAAATCGCGTCCCTGCCAATAGCAGTCGCGCGCTCCCCCGCACGCTCCTCCAGCGCGCGCTCTGTCCAATCGTGTTCTTGCGATTGCGACATGGAAGAACGGCGACCACGCCGTAACCACGCGGCCGACGCCATTTTGGGAGCTGGCAAAAAAAAGAGAAAGAATTCACGTTCAAAACAAGACTAAGATGGCGGCTGTCGGCCGAACGCGTCGGAAATGGCGAGCGCGCGAAGTTGGGGTTGATTTTGACGTTTGACCGTCGCTTGGATGCTACTCAGGCCTCGTAAATAATTGTTTTTAAATATTTCCCCGTTGTATTTGGTGCTGATAATTACAGAGAAGGTAGTTTATGAGATATACAACCGAAAAATAAGGTTTTCTAAAAATCGACTTTTTCGCGATTTTTCGGTTTTCAAAGCCCACGTCCTCCCTTAAAGAATCTGTATTAAAGGAAATATTTGAAGATAAGCTGGGAGTTACAGCGACCAGTGTGGAACGGATTCACAGACTTGGTAGGAAAGCACCTAACAAATCCCGCCCTGTCATCCTAAGGCTGTATGATTTCAATCAGAAGCTTGATATTCTGAAAAACGCGCGGAAGCTAAAGGGAACTTCAATTTCTATATCAGATGATTTTTCCAGAAGGGTACAAATGATCAGAAAGCGGCTGTGGATGACGGTGAAGGATTCGAGGAGACCTGAGGACAAGGTGTCCTTACGGTACGATAAGCTGGTCACTAATAACGAAGCATATATTTGGGATATGGATCAGATGCGCAGGGTGAAGATCACAGGGACACCGGGGGATGACAGAAATTGACGTCGGAGAAAGAAATGTCGCGAGTTCAAATTGATTAATTTAAATGCTAGGAGTGTAGCTAACAAAGTCGAGGATATAGAGCAGATACTACTGGTGTATTCTCCTGATGTAATGATAGTCACTGAAACATGGTTAAATGCTAATATATTAAATTCGGAAATATGCCCCCCTGATTACAACGTGTTGAGAAAGGACAGATCCTCAAGAGGAGGTGGAGTGGCAATATTTTTCCGACAGGAGATATCTTGTAAACAACTGTGTGACATGTCTGACTTGGAATCTTTGTTGTGTAAGGTCGTTGTACACGGTGTATCATATGTAATTTGCGCATTCTACAGGCCACCAAATTCCTCATTAAACCTCATTCCACTTCTTAGTGATAAGCTAGATAATTATACAAACTTCAGGGGAAATTTTATACTAGCAGGGGACTTCAACCTACCCAACATAGACTGGTCCGAGATGACGGTTGGAACTGTTGACTGTTTACATGGAGATGCTCTTTTGGAGGTTGCCTTTTCTCACAACTTAACACAAGTTGTTCATGAGTACACTCGAAGCCAGGGTTGCTCCCATTCAATCCTTGACCTTGTGTTTTTAAATGATAAGTTGAGCGATCTTTATTATACGTGTAAAATACATGAGGGTATTTCAGATCACAAAATGATTGAAGTGATTATACCGGTGAAAATTATGAATATTCACAATACCAAATTTGTTAGAGTACCGGATTACCAAAAAGCTGATGATGTTTCCATACTGGACCATTTGGAATTGTCACTTGAAAGGTTTACTAATTATGTGGGTACTTGTGCACGGATGTAGATCAAATATGGTTGTACTTTGTGAGCATTGTCAACACCTGTATCAAGCAATACGTGCCTTTCAGAAATAAGAAAACAAATGTGAAAAATCCATGGATTAGTAGAGATATTCATCTGAAGCGTAAGATTGCCAGAGTAAAAAAAAATAAGCGACATAGTGCTGTACATGCTCCTAATGAAGCAATTTCCACCTTAAGTGCCAAAGTAAAAAAAATGATAGCTGAATCAAAACAATATTTTTATAACGTAACGCTGAGATCATTTCTTTCAAATGCCCCGCAAAAATTTTGGAGATATGTCTCGGTTTCAAAGAGGGATACAGTGATAACAACAGTAAGTTCAAACGAATTCAACACATTTTTCGAATCGATGTATACTGTGGATGACGGACATCTCCCTGAAATAGCCCCCGACACGTCTCCAGGCATTATCGACGTAGTAGTCACCGAGGAGGGAATTTTTCATTTATTAAATAACGTTGACCCAAAGAAATGTCCTAGTGCTGATGCCATTTATAATGAGTTTTTGAGACGTTACGCAGAGTGGATTTCGAAGTATCTATTCATAATCTTTAAGGTGTCACTGCGTTACGGTGTACTACCAATGCAATGGAAAGTTGGGAAAATTATTCCAATTCACAAATCTGGAGACAGAAACAATCCATCAAACTATAGACCGGTATCTTTAACTAGTACGTGTAGTAAACTTCTAGAACATATAATGTTTTCACATATGATTCAATATCTTGATAATCACAATATTCTTACCCCGTTCCAACATGGTTTTAGGAAATCATTATCGACGAGTACACAGCTAATTGAGCTAGTTCATGAACTTGCAAATAGAATAAATGACAGGGGGCAGGCTGACTTAATTTTTCTTGACCTCTCAAAGGCGTTTGATCGCGTATCGCATCCTAAACTTCTTCTGAAGCTATCGGCTATTTTTAAAAACGATCAGTTAATTACGTGGATGACCTCTTATCTCTCCAATGGATCGCAATATGTATGTCTTGAGGATGGGACTTCTTCACTTCTGCCAGTAACATCAGGGGTACCACAGGGTACCGTGCTGGGGCCACTTTTATTTTTAATTTATATCGATGACATCGTTAAGGATGTTCAAGTTCCGGTTAAATTATTCGCGGATGATTGTGTCATTTACTCTGAAATAAAATCACCTCGAGATCAGGTAGCACTTAATGAGGCTTTTTTAAAAATTAAGGAATGGTCAGATAAATGGCAAATGAAAATAAACAACGATAAAACCGTTGCAATGACAATTACTTGGAAAAGGAATCCCTTGAAATATTGCTATTCAATAGATGCGATTCCCATTAAATTTGTTGACCACTATAAGTATCTTGGAGTGACAATAACCAGTAAACTTTGGAACCAGCATATCGATGACATAACGAATAAGGCCAGGGCAAAATTATACACACTAAGACGCACCTTAAAATTTGCGGATAACGAAACAAAGAAGACTGCTTACCAATCAATTGTACGACCTATTCTAGAGTACGCGCACACAGTATGGTATCCGCACACGGCAGAAGGAATTAGTAAACTTGAAAGCGTACAAAGACTGGCTGGAAGGTTTATATTTAATAAGTTCATATATAGTGTGTCTGCCTCGAGCTTACTAGAGCAAGCTAACATCCCGCCATTGGAGGTTAGAGCTAAAATAGACAGACTGCGAAATTTATATTCTTTTATTAATGGAATCTTTAATGTCAGTAGTGATAGATACATACAATTTTCATCAAGCGGATCAGCTAGACTGAACCTTACTGGGACCATTAAACAATATCCTCTTAAGCACGATGTCTTCAAATATTCTTTTTTTCCTCGGGCAATCAGTGAATGGAATTCTTTGACGAATGAAATAGTCACCCTCCCATCACTTGATATTTTTGTTGAAGCAATCGCTTCCGCCACGAGAAAGTGCTCATAAGTACATCACATCATGCCATTATGTAACCACCCCTGCTATGGCTCACAGATGTGAGCCGCAGTATTCTTTAAATAAAAAAAAAAAAAGCTTGTGCAGCATCAGAAAAATATGACAGAAGATGGGTTCCAGTTGACATCGGCAACCTAAAGAGAGCCTTTATTATGTATAACATTTTTTCCATTCTGGTTATACTTAACCCTGTTATATTTTGTTGCAGCGAGGACGAGGAAACCGATGAAGGCAACCCACAAGGGGAGAACAAGTACATTGTGTATGAAAGCTGCCTGCTTGAATGTTTCAAGGTGTGCGTAACATGTCTAGCACCCTGCAAGCCATCACTAAGTTTGAGCGGGAGCTGCCTTACTGTTCTCACGGAATGCTGCAACGGCGATCGGCACTCTTGGTCAAGTCGGCCATACGTGGGACGGAAGCCAGCTGGGAACATTGATCTTTGTGCTGGCATACTGTTCTCTGGTTCAAGCCCTGCCCCAGCACTCAGGATGATGCGGCTGATGAACCTTCGGGTCATCTCAGAGCGCACTTTCCATGAGTACCAGGAAGCGTACCTCCTCCCTGTGGTGCAAACAGTTAGTGCACATCTTTTCTGCTTCAGTCGTAATGTAGTTTCCTAAGTAGCACCAATTTTCGCTGTGCACCAACCCCAACACAATGCAGCATGCCATCTTTAGAGTGATCACATTTGTTTGGCCGTGCAAGCTGCATTAGGCCCCCTTTCAGTTGATTTTTTCTTCCATGCATATATGTATATGGAGTGGAAAACATCACAGTTATGCTTTCTGGCATACAAAAAAGCTGCTGCACTCTACGATAGAATAATGTGCATCCGCCCATGCCGCACTAAGCACCCTTCCCCAAAATTCGTAACATCTAAAAAATATGCACAGTACATATATATGAAAAATTGATGACCGCACTTGCGCGCATCCCCCATTTTTTCGCGATTATCTTCAAATTTTGAGTGGGCACTTGCTCGGTCATTATCTTACGGTATTCTGGTCTGGTTGACATACACCTTTTTCTAATTTCACTGTTACAAATGTCATTTTCAACATGTGCTTCCAGGTCTGGGAGAGCCAGAGAGATGAACATCTGGCAGCGCTTGCAGGAGCGCCCATGGACTTGTCTGGAGACGGACGATGTGATTCCCCAGGACACAGTGCAAAATTTCTAACCTACAGCTTCTATTCAAACCAATTGGGCAAGATACTTCACAGTGAACTGGTTCGAGTCAAAGAGGTAAAAACCCTCATAGCAGTTGCAATCTGCGAGCTAGTTGTTGGTAAATGTACAATACACATCTTTTGTTTTCAGTGTCCAGAGTCGAGCGCAAGCAGCAAGATGGAAAAAGAGGGGTGTATTCGTGGAATTGCGTTCCTCAAGTCGAGGGATGTCATCATTCGCTCTTTCACGACTGACAGACACTCTGCAATCAAGGCACATATGAAACTACACAAGCCCACAATCCTGCATCTGTTTGATGTGTGGCATGCTGTAAAAAATAATCCTAAAGAAGAAATTTTTTTTTTTTTAGATAATGAAAACGACTTGCACATTCTGTCCCTTTGCTAAGTTTCTCAGAACCTTGAACCTTCCAGAGGGTTGATGCTGTTCTTACCATAGATTATCTGCTCTCAATGAGACCGCTGATAATAATTCTATCCCATCTTGACAAGCACAAAGAGAAATAAAATACCTGAGCCCTCATACGAAAGCTTTTCAAAGCATAGAATACGATTTCTAATTGTGCAGCTTCTAATCGCAATGTTTCTGTGACTAGCTAAAATGTTAAACTAAATGTGTCCTCTTCCCTTTATGAGATGGTACACAGCCATGCTAATTCACTATCTGCTAGCCAAACACAGATTTCTTGCACAGAGTGGAAACTTTGCCACCAGGAAGGGGGCATCACGACTGCAAGCATTTTGGTTGCGGTGCTTGTCTCTGTACAGGACTCGGGAAGAAGCTCACTGCTGCAAGCAAGACCGCAGGGTGCAAAGATCTGACACATTGGGTGAACCCTGTGTGCAATCACTTGGGGTGGTGCACAAATGCCAGTGGTGGCGACGGGGAGTTGCTCACCGCAGTGTGGCTGAGCGTCACCAACCATGTCTGTGACGTCCACATGGGCCACGGTCCAGTCTACCCGCGGTGCATGCACAAGGACCTCGGTGAAAAACAGTGGATTGCGCCTGGTTTGTAAAATTTTAATATGAGCATTCTGTTTACAGTGCTAAACAGTTCTACGTAAATAAATCCTAATTATACATAGCTCGCAAACATTTGTGCAATGGAACTTGTTAATAAATTAATTTATGCTAAGAACATGTCTAAGTGAACAAAGACCATCTAAAAGGAAAAGTTTGCTATCAAATTGCAATGTACACATTGAATGCTTAAAGGGACACTGACACCCCCCAAAAAATTTTTTTTATTTTTTGCCAGGCGCTTTATTATGGTGTCGGAGGACTACCCAATTAATATTTTGCAACAGAGTAGCGTATTTTTTTAATAAAGCCAAAAGACGCAACTGCTCAAAACCGAAACCGAAACCCGACGGAGGTCGGAGAAGTGGAGAGGAGAGAGTGAGTGGCGGAAGTCACGTGGCTACACCCGACCGTGCGTTTTTTTTTTTTTTTTTCTCTCCTCTCCGGTAGCAGACGACACGACATGCGGCGTGCGATGCGGCGTGCGGGAACTGCTCGCCGTGCGATTATTTTGCAGTTATGTTTGTTCCGCTCGTTGTTCTGTACTCCAAGATGAGTTGTTTTGTACATTGAGGAGTTGGAGATGAGTAGTGAGTGCCCGTGGTGAATTTCCATGATCGGCTCCGAAAAGAATACACCCAACATGTTGCCTGAAGAGCTGGCTCACGTCCTGCATCCGAAAAAAAGTGGCATTGTGCGACAGAGTTTCCGAAAGATCAACGGGATCGGGACCAATGGCTGGCCGCAATTCCTGTAGAACATTTACGGGCACCTCGGAAAGCGGACGCTACCTGATTTATATGCTCCTTGCATTTTGTGGAAAGTGCTTACATTGAGTTCGCACGTGTCAAAACGGGAATCCCATACCATTCAATTCTGCGAAGTATCGTCTACATTTGTTTGTTATTTTTTTTTTTTTCTTCAGTGATGATTGTAAAAAAAGAAAAAAATATGTAAATATCGGAAAATGTCTTAAAAAAAAAAAAAAAAAAAAAAAAAAAAAGCTTCACGGGGGATCGAACCCGGTCCTACCGCGTGTGAAGCGGACATCCTTCCCACTGAACTACTGAAGCATCTCTTTTCTGGTGGCTCTCTTTCCTTAGTAATAATTCAGCCGGTAAACTGTAAGTTGGAAAGTTTGCTGTCGATTTTTCTCTAGCAAAAGCACTCCCGGGTCGAAGTCGGGAAGCACCCCGCTTTGGGGACATTCGCACCTAGTAAAGAAATCGTACGCGTGCATATTAAACTCGAAGTAGACACGTCGTGCTTGACGTTTGCGCGAGCGATGTCTTCAGCCACGAGAAGGGAGCGACGGCTCGGCGACGTCTTCGTGCAAATCGGCTTGGTGGCCGGGCGTGTCGTACGGGATGAATACCAATTCTTTTGATCAGTCCCAAATTTCTCTTTTAACGGTAGACAGAATTCGCCGCTACCGCGAACGACAGTTCTGAAATAGAGGTCCCACGACCGTCGTCCGCTACCATCGCCGTCCCCGCGAGTCCCACGATACGCGAAACGACGAACGTACAGAATGCTTCCGGTTGTCTGTGGAATTTTTTTTTTTCAATCAACGTATTTACAGCTTTTTAGAAGCCACAAAAAATGGGTTTCATATTTTTTTCTATTTTTAATACTGAGTGTGTGCCTTCAGTGACCAACGACTTTGATTAAATTTGGTGGTCGCATCGATACCTTAGAAAACGGCCCGTGACCGCGGAAAAGAGAGTGAGCGAGACTCGAACCGGCCAGTTCTTGATCGGCGGTTTTCGGGCGGAAAGAAACCGAATTTCGAGCCGCAAATTCTGTTCTGGGTAGTTGAGCTCTCATATGTCACGTACAACTAAAAACCTCGGCGAGCATAAATACCCTGTCAGTGTCCCTTTAAATCCCTCCAGGCTCAGCTGCCCACAAGAAGCTGAAGGCGATTGCTACAGCACCCCTGTTTTTGAAGAACGTCAGGCAGCTGTCGCCTCATGTACAAACATACGGCCTGGAGTCGTTTCACAGCGTTCTGAACAGATTCGCACCGAAATCAACAGTGTTTTCCTACGAATGCATGGCTGCACGGTAAGGACCCTAAAGGTGCAAGGAAATATAACAATCCTGAAAATAACATTGCAAGCAATGACAGTTGCGGCGGCTTACAGTCCAACAAATACTGTCAGACATCGCAAAAAAGATATAGTAACATGCTTTCACACAAGGTGATTAAGACATTCAGGAATTAACGGCTTCAATTATGTTGCAGCACTATGATTGCCATAATGCATTTCAACGAAAACAGCGCTCGGCTGCAAGCTGAGACAAGGGAGGGGCACAAGCAGTGGCATGTGAAAGCCCCAAAAGCACGAAAAGGTGCACTAACTGTGTGCTCCCATAAGACACCCGTGACTTTTGGTAAGTGCAGCTCAATAACCAAAAAATTCAAGATAATTTGTCAAAATACGGAATTTAAAAGCCCTGTCAAACTGTACACAAAAGGTATACAGTTTGTGTGCACTACCCTGCATAAAACATTTTGGGCAGCTCTCATCCGCTCTGTTCAAAGAGCGAAAGTTCACGAAAGTGAGAGGGAGCAATGGCTGTGTAACAAAGCTCTGTCCTCACAGGTGGATGGCATGCTCCTTGATGGGTGGAAACAACACCACCTAGATACAAGGTCTCTGCACTGATCCCTCCACACGGGAGGGATCAGTGTGGCGCAGTTATCATGGAGGGAGGGGTCTGCTTTCCACTCTGCCCATTATCGGACAAATATCATTGCTTCGTAGGGGAGACGGAGCAAATCAACAGCCACACCACCCGTTATTGCACACATATCATTATGTCGTAGCAAGAGAGTAACCAGGCCCTATCAGTGTCTAGCTGGTGTCGGTGGAAAGCACCTCCGACGTGAGCATATTCTTCATTGTAGCGAGTGGCAGTTACTGATTTAGCATTAAGATAATTTATTTTTGGCATAAATGCGAAGAATTTATGGATTTCTGGCAGACGAGAAGGTCAAGGCAGCAAGTGCTACAGCTATATCCTCAAATCGGAGCTTGGCGCCATGACATAAATGTAACTCTCTTTGCGAGGAGCAGACATACTTGTTCAATACTATCTCTTTCTGAATTCTAGGATATGTGGAAAAACTGCATCAACAAGTTCTGGAGCGCTGCAAGACACACCCGACTTTCAAAGTGGCACTTGCCGAGAGACCACCGAAGGTTCCCCCATCCTTTGTCAGTCCTGGACCAAGGCCATCCAAGGAGGAGCTTGTGGCTGCACACAAGAAACGTTTTGCAAGGCCATAAGTCGAGGCAGGCAACCAGAGGAGGATGAATTACCAAGTTCTGCGATACTCGTGTACAGTTCACCCAAGTATTCAGTACTATCATGGGAGCTTTGACCAACGGGATGGTCAGCACCGTATCGCAGGCAAAGTCGCGATATAAGCTAGATTGGGCCTATATACAAAAATGGCAAAGCCTCGCCGATGCTGCCACAGCACTCCATGACACTTCAAACTTCTGCATAAGAGACAAGTGACAGCGGCGACATGCGCAGATAAGTTTCCGTGTTCTTTTTGTCATTTTCATGCAGAAGCATTAACTTCTGAGTCGGTGCATGGAACATTGTATACATATTTTTTAATCTTGTAAATGACTTTTTGCCTTATTTTAGCTAAATCCATTAGGTCGTTCCTTCGTTGAGATCATGAAGGTGTATATTACATAGGAAATGTATGGAATACTGTGCACACCAGTTGCAAGATGATTTTCTCTGTAGGCTGTCCAGCATTGTAGAATGTATATATGTTCTTTATAATGTCTTGTAAGAATATTATCAAGCTGCTTGTTTAAGACACTGTTCTTGTAAATGTGTGAGAAGGTGAAGAGAACGGTGCTCCCTCCCAAAGGTTTACTTACAAGTATTTACATATGCGTCCAATGACATCAAAAGCTGCTGCATTCTTAGCTCGGTCTCGAGCTTGGCCTCGCTCCTGCTCCACTTATTTCTTTTCTAAATGGCGGCTGCTACAAGTACTACTCCCCCTCCAGCAACAAAGCTGTCCGAGAGTGCAGTGGTAGAGGTGCCCAGGTGGTGAAACGTCAGAGAGTCAGGGGCCCTGTGTAACTTGTGATTAGCAACATTTTCCGTGGAAGCGGCTGGAACAGGGCATGGATGCAAGTGAGGCTATTGCAAGACCATGCTGTGTACTCTTAAAGCAAGAAAAAAGAATATTGGGGTGGGCTGGTTTAAGGCAACCAATTGATGTAGTGTCTTTTCTTCGTCTGTTGACGTCAAGTAGAAAGTATTTGTTGTGGCGCTCAATAACCCAGAATGGACTGTCGTAATGTTGGGCGCAGTGCTTGAGCTCATCAGATATGTACAGTAACTGACGCAGCTGTTTTTGAGAAGTGGTTGCTCGAAGAGTTTGCATGGCCGTCGTGAGCTGTGCAACATAGCTGGCAGGGTTGGCAGAGAGACTTGGACCAGCAGGGCCGATAAATTCGCCTCGTAGGCAAAAAGGCACGCGTAATGAATTATGCAGGACAGCAACCGAGGCCTTCTTTGTGAGCAATGCGGGGGCCCAAAAGCACCAATGGTGCAGTAGAATCTTTCTACAATGTCAGGAGCCACAAGGACGTATGCTGTTGTAAAAATAGGGGAGCATCCAAGTAGTTTCATGAGCTCCCGAAACAGAGCAGATTCAAACTGTTGCGCTCGGTCCGTTGTCACTGATAACAGCACACCAAATCAGCGAATCCAACCTGCAACAAACGTCTTTGCAATTGTTTCTGCGGTGATGATGGGAATCAGAAATCTAGGCCAGTGGCTGAAACAGTCGATGCATGTAAATAGCTGTGTTTCAAATCGAGTGGTGGCAGGAGACCCACAATGTCAGCTGTATGTCATGAAAGTGCACCGTTGATGTTGGAAAAGGCTGGTAAGGCACTGATGCATGGCAGTTAATTTCGGACTGCTGACAAGGCAGACAAGCCCAAGCCCAATCTCTTACATCTTTGTTGATGCCTGGCCACACAAAACGTTAAGTGAGGCACCGGTGAGTTGTTCGCACTCTGATGTGTGCCATGGAGTGCAAGGAGTCAAAGGCTCCTTACACTCCATGGCACACACAAATCAAAGGCCAACAGCAATATCCGAGGCATCTGCCCCGACGATGACAGGAAGATTACGGCTACGACAGATAAAGAAAGTTGCATCGGCGAGATCTTTTTTGAAGCATTTGATCTGATCGGACGGATATGTAAATACTTGTAGATAAATTTAGGTTGTGTCATTAGAGACCCGGATGTGATCAAAAGGGGCTGTCGTTCTTAGGTTGTCTCCAGCCCGACCTTGTGCGTGTTCTTCCTTTTCTATGTGCCGGCTGCTACATATGTACAATTGTAAATGGTACTTCAAAGGTGTTGGAGAAACTCGTGAACTGATTCTTTTACATATTAGGGCCACATATGTCACACATTAATATATGAATTGCTCTCTATCATATTTGCCCATTGTTTATATATTACTGGAAACACGGACTTCGGCATCTAGCGATACTATGTTATGTTTAAAAAGGGCAATGCAAACATCTTCATTCTTGTCTAATCACTGTGGAGCTTGTAACAAGGTCACTCTGCCACAAACAAACAGATTGAACTGCGAGTTTTACAGCAGTACAACCCATCTTTTCATGTACCCTACCCCAATGTATATGGGCTTAGCATGCACATAGCAATAGTGATAAACATCAATTTCGACATGCAGCCCAGGTATCGTAATAGCTACCACCTGAGCAGTGTCCAGCGAAACAGATGTTATAAGCTGCAGATTCAATTTAATTTATTATCAATACTGCAGACTCATGTTAGAGTCAAAGCAGGAGTAAACATCTGGGATCATTTAAGTAGACAATTGTGATCATTTGAGTTAGGAAAGGCACAATGAATGTCCTATGCTGCTTGATTACCAGTGAATGCTTGAGTTACAAGAGGTGGTGACCGGAACTGAGAGGATCTAGTTTTGTTTTCCAGTGTTTATCCAGATCATAAATTTATTTTGTGATAGAAACCTCTACAAATATTCTGAAACTGACCATTTAGCGGTAACGAGGATACCTGAAACCTGTTGTGGTTTCGGAAGGAAACTCCTCCCTTATCCTGCCAACCAAACATGCCGGCAGGATCATCCTGTTCCCCCTACCAAGCCGCCGCCACAACCAGCGAACAAAAGTCCTGTAGGCCGTGTACCGGTACCGTCTGCATTAAAAGGAGGTCACATAACAGAAATTGAGCAATGATGCTTTCAGATATATTTCAATCATTTGATACAGAAGGCACCCTCAAGGAAGATTATCAATGAAGAAAAAGTCCTGAAATAAGCATTTGAATTGCCGTGGCTAATACATTTTCAATGTACTCTGCGACGGATGTCAAACCGAAATTCGGATCCCACAAAACAGAACATTTGACGCAAAACTCAAAATATCACTCGTATGTACATGATACTTCAAATGCACGGTCGAGTTTACTTGAAAAGAGGATAAAAAGGGTGCAATTGAATGAGGCATGCGACGTCGTGGTCCTTGTTTCCTCACTTTTCCTGAGAATGCGCAGCATATGTGGCAAGGACGTGAAGCAAAGACCGCGACGTCGCACACCTAATTCGATCGCACTTCAAAAGTAGTAGTCTGTTCCGAGATATCGCTGTATGATTAGTGCCCTGTTTTCTGAAAGCTAAATTTCTGTTCAGCATACCTACAGCAGAGCACTGTAACAAGCTTGAGTGCTCAGTAGCACATTAGTAAGGGTGTATACTTGAGATTACTATTTCCAACCATTGTGCAAGGTGAATGTCCAATAACTCTGTCAGATGCACTTGTTGTGAATCACTCTAAATGTGAGCATATGGTGGTGCGTGAAGCATATTGTGAGTTGTCTGGGCACTGCTCTCACATATTAGATTTGAGCCAAGATTTAAAAAAATTAAAACATCATTTCATTTTTTAGATGCTGTTACACAGCATTTGCCACTGACAACAAATACGCTGAAGGACAATTACCAAACGATCTTGCAGGGCTGTACATGCAAGACATTACTATGGCATATAGCCTAGCGCTAGCACCAAATTCCATTTCAGAATTACCCATGAATGACGATTTATTAGGTGCAGAGACGCATTTTATATAACCACACTCCTCAAGTTCAAGGCCCGCACCTTTCCTGCAATTGCTCGAATAATGCAGTGTCAAAAGAAAACCATAACAGCACTCCTCTCACCTGTGGATGTCCTCATGCATGGGATGTCCGTGACCCCTGAGCTCGAAATACAGCAGGCGGAGCACCGGAATGCTCAAGCAGAGCATACTGAATTCTGGGTGCTCTGTGATGCATCCAGCTGGCTGAACGCAGGTCAATGCGGAACCCATTTCACGGCAGCATACGCACTCTGCCTCCGTGCCGTTATCTAACACGACGCAGTGGTTGCAGCTGCACCTGGATGGTGAGATTAGTGCGTCGTTGAGACGTATGTACGATGTAGTCATAACATTTATGAGAGGGAACACCCAATCGCGTGCCGCTCGGTACAGGCAGCGCGGTCTAGTGAGTGTTTATAACGATATCAAGGCGTTCCAGACGCGTGCATGATACCGCTATCAGCGCTGGCTAGACTTCTCGGCACGCGCTTGGGTGTTTCCTCTTATAGATCTTATGACTGTACCTATGTGAGTTCACCGAAGGAAGCAAAGAGTAGTTTCTTGAAATGATACAACCATGAAAACAATTCGGGAAAGTATATACTGCTTGAGTATACAGTAGATAACTAACTTCATTTCGTCACTCATGCAGGTGCTATAGGTACCACAAAAGTTGCCATTGCTCAGGTAATTTTACGCCACCGAGCTTGTACCATTATCTGCTCTGCAGAATCATGTCACCCGCGAGCCATTATTAAAACATTCCATGACAAAGAGGACCAACTGAAGGCTGATTGACACAACAACTTATTTAATTACGTTAGCTACGGGAGCTACAACCGCGGGTTCCCACGAAATCCATGCTTCCCATTCAGCCAGGCAACCAATTCAAGGTGTAGTTTGACAAGCGAACACGAAGAACGAACATTGCTAAAAAAAAAATTGGCTTGCTCTTTATGTTTATACAGCCTTGATGGAGATGCGCCTCAACGGGTAATCGGTCTCTTAGCTGTAGATGAGAAATTTAGCCAGTGCGGTACAACCGCTAACCTGGGATTTTTAACGTGCATCACGCAGTAGTGATCACACGAACGCGTGCCGGTACGAAACTCATCCAGATCGAAACGGGCAGGGGCGGCGGGGATCGAACCCAGGAGGTTCCCAGCGCAAGCTTTCGCTCCACGCTCCGAGCTGAGACGCGTTAGCCCACTCGGCCACTTCAGGGAGGAAGTGGCCGAGTGGGAAGGGACGAACATTGCTTTGACTCTAGAGCACTATATAGCTCCTTCGGAGCAGAGTAGCGCAATCTAGAACGCCGTCTCTCGGCGACTAGCGGCGAACGCCCGGAGGTTCCAACTGCGGTCAGAAATGCATGGAGAACGTGAGAAAATTGTTGTTTATTCAGTTCTGTGGGGATGTACGGAATGGCAATCATTTTTGACATAATAATGAAACATTTTAGAATAATTTGCGATAAGTTTTGTGCCATGCAAGACGTAACTTTTTTTTAAAAATTGCCCGAGCGGCATCATGCAGCAGACGACACGGCGACGTCACACCATTCACGTGACCCGCTCCGGCCAACCCGAAAAGCCCATCTCCGCTGCGAGCAAAAATCGTCTGCTTGAAACGCCATTGCCTTGGGAATTGCCTTCTCAAAATTTGCACACGCATCCGATATTATTAAGACTTTGATAAAGTGTTTAGCGCTTTACTAACTTCCCGACAGGCTAGTTTTGAAAAATGTGAACTCGCCGTTAATTTTTTAATCAGCCGTGTTATGTCGATCTCCATGTATTCTCCCATAGAGCGGGCCGCCTCCTGGAACCCTGAGTACCACGTGACCAGGGTGTAAGATAGGTGGGGAAACGAGAGCCAAATGAGTGACCGCATTGTGTCCCCCTCGGTTTTCTTTTTCTGTGGCGCCATCTATGAGGAGCACTGCAAACTCTCACTCTGGGTGGGCGACCGATGGCGACCGGCTAAACTGACGGAGATGGTTTTTTGTTCATTTTTAATGAAAGACTGTCGTGCTCTTGGTTTATTTTGCGCAGTCTCCCATAGAGTTCCGCGCAAATTCCAATTCCGATTTTTTTCCTCTCGCCGCAGCGCCATCTGTCGCAAGTCGGGGGTACCCGCAAGCAGACGAGTACACAATCCGGTCACGGCGCTGCGGTAGGCTTCTATGGACCGTTTCCCCACCTGTCTATCTTACACCCTGCACGTGACTCGCGCCGAGCCTCTCTGTCGGCCATGTTGTCGGAAAAACACGGGGTTCAAAGGATTGCGCTACTCTGCTCCGTAGGAGCTATATAGTGCTCTATTTGACTCATGGTCAAAACATAACGTGCCGAGGCGAGAAAACGCTGCCATATCAATGAGGCTTTCAGCATTGCAGCTGAAAAACAGAATGCCCGCGAACTCCAGTTGATTCGGCAACTATGCTTATTATTCAAAGCGATTAGAAGACGAACTAAAGAGGGGACACACAGCGAAGTTTACATACGAACAGATAAACTACGTCCTTATCATTCTGTGTTACCGTAACAAACCCACCGCGGTAACCAGAGCCTCGATGCCCTAAATGCTACCGGTACCGACAATTCACATGTGACGTCACTCCTTACATCACCTCCGTTTTTGGAGGCCCAAAAATGAGAACCCAGGTAGTTCAGTTTCAGTTTCTTCAATGCTTTTGTAGGTACAGAAATACGCGTCACAAATGTCTATAAAAAATTGAGCGGTATGCCAGGTCCCCAAGAAGCCTAAAAACACCATTTAAAAAAATAAATAAAATCGTCTTCATTGTCCCTTTAAAGGGGCCCACCAACAGTTTTTTGACCGGTCTGAACTTCGCGCTTAAACGGAGCTCCATGAAAGCAGGAACACCGAGGGAAAAAAATATTACAGAAATTCGCGATATTTTGTGAGTTATTAGCAAATTAAATATTGCAGAAAACAACTTTAAATAAGCAAAACATTGCGCTTCATGACGTAAAATGAAAAAGTTTGGCGATTGGAGCAAAGCGGTTGGCCAATTGGACGCGAGTTTGGTTGATAGCCTGTCGGCCCGGTCGGCTCGTCGGCCATTAGGCCTAGCTGCAACCATCGTAGCTTTGGGATCGGGTTGACATCATCGATGAATTTAGCGGGCTTATCAGGTTTTGAGTGCGGACCTGGGCGTCGCGCCGTACGCGGACACTTCACGCAAGCGCCGCGTCTCTGCCTCAGTCCGCTTCGACAGCCGCGGAAGACTCGTCTCCCGCAACTCCGCCACCGGAGCCACCTCGGCGAGTGGGTACAAACTGGTGAGCGGCACCGTTGGGTACCATATAAGCTGGGTCCCGTCGCCGCACTTCACTCGAACAGTGAAAAGTCTGTCACAGCACTAAAAGAAAATAAGGGTTCCCCTGGCTCCTCTTACTGCTTTTAGTTGACCGGGACCGGGGGCGCACAAGGAAAAATACGATGCGCGCTGTCTGCATGGATCACTTGTCGTCTGCTCGCGATGGTACGTCGCGGACGCCGCTGGGAGGCGCGCATGGCGCTCTGACGAGGCGTACGAGGCGTTGTTTTCGCTCTTTTTGAACTTTACTTTGCAACTTTATT